GTTTGTTACTAGTTGTTAGTTTGTTACTGTACGGATTTCAAAATGCCGAGGTGAGCTTTTTTAAGCAGAAGACCGTGGACACGGGGAGTTTGTTTGTTACTAGTTGTTAGTTTGTTACTGTACGGATTTCAAAATGCCGAGGTGAGCTTTTTTAAGCAGAAGACCGTGGACACGGGGAGTTTGTTTGTTACTAGTTGTTAGTTTGTTACTGTACGGATTTCAAAATGCCGAGGTGAGCTTTTTTAAGCAGAAGACCGTGGACACGGGGAGTTTCTTATTTCAAAATTTTGGCTTTTACCGGGCAAAACCCCAGTTTCAATTTCCATCAGGCTTAGGGGGGAGACAAACTAAAGGTTGGAGCCCAGAGGTCCCGGCCCATATTCAGAATACTCATTTCCGTCAGAGCGGGGAATATTCATGATGCTTGATAAAAATTTATTACACAATACAATCGCATTCGCAAAAGGGAAACAAAATGCGTAGTTGCATTTGGAAAGGAGAATTGCTGGACTTTTCAAATAACTCTCAAAGACGCATAAATTATACTAGGTTTCGCAGCTGATAGTGAAATAATTAAGAAGCATTAATTAGTGGGGGTTCGATCCGTCTAATATGATTTTGTGAGCGGGGACATTGATTCCTTAATCATAGTTATTTGATAATATCTATTTGATTGTGATTCATTTCTAGTATGATTATCTCGGCACCTCGTTGATCATAATTATTCATCTATTCGATATAGTGCATGTTTGGCAATGTTGTAGCTTAGAGATTTAATTTCCTTGTCATGTGACGATAGTAACTTTAACCATCAATATCGCCCTCCACTCATCTCCTGCCCTTTTAGGATAAGGTTCAGTGAGATATTTCTCTATCAACAACCATAACAACAAGAGAATCATATAGTCCGTCTCATTTGTTCATCTTTAATTTCTTGGAAAGACATCTGACAAGCTATACAGGAACCATGAGGCCGAATCGCAGCGACGCTCATCTTACACCGGAGGAGGAGGTGAAAAAAGAGGAAGAGACTCGAGAGTACTTCGATGGCATTGCTCCCAAGCGCCACTCTAAACCCTCACGGAGCGAGTACTCAACCGTTTACTCGGATGATCTCAAGGTGTCTGATCAAGAAACCATACCTGAGCTTGAAAAGTTTCAAAATCTTGAGGCAGATAAGCAGGTCATATTCACATATCCCCTCACACTACCTTTGTTACTGCTTTTTTTGCATATGTTAAAAAGGTTGAGCTTAAAGATCATTACACTCTCATATCTATAATTTCGGACGATTGGTGTGTTAGAAGAGATTTCAAGGTGGTCTGAGAGTAAACAAGATATATTGATGCCGCTTTGGCGCAGTACGATCAATTTCAAGATGGTCTCAAAGTAATCCAAATTCAAGTCTCAGTAGATGTCTCTGCTTAAAGTAGCTTAGATTTTGACTCGTCAAAAGAAAGGCTTAACCTGCAAAGATATTTTAGGGTATAGAAACCTTTAACCCTCATAACAGATTCAAAGTTCTGTGTAATGAAATTCAAACCTCACTAGACATGCATATAAAGTATATTTGGTGAAAAAAAACATTTGATCTGACAATAGCCTAGTTATAGATATGCTGAAATATAAAGTTATAGCTCAGAGCAATTCACATTTTAAAATAACACCAGTTACATATTCAAAATTAAAAAAAAATATGGTTTTATAAATAGTTCAGATTTAGACACATGAAAAGAATGCACAACCTACGGAAACATCTACAAAGTTGAAGCTTTTTTTTTGTTACTTATGAGGAAACTTTGTAAAATAAAAACTAGAGTTCAATCACGTATTCTCGGATCTTTCTTTGATTTTGATTGACATTTTCTTTTGTGTCGCAATAAACAGAAAGTTGTATGTGAAGGGAGTGAGACTGGGGAGGAATTTACAGAGACAGAGTATTACAAAGATCTCAATTGTGTCGACAAGCAACACCACACGGTACATAGTTGCTCTGGACTTTTGTGTGAGTCTTAATTTACTGACCAAATTGTGCATGAGCTTGTAACCAAGCCTTTGTCGGCATTGCAGACTGGCGCAGGATTCATAAAGGTTGAGAAATCGAGGGAGAGGGCGTTTAACCTGGATCCAGATACAAGTTCTGTGTCTGCGAGTCACCCTTCTAGCAAAGGCAATCCTGCTACAAACGAATGGATTCCGTCTGCTGATCCTGTATGATAAGGCTAAGGCAATCCTGCAACATCTTAAAAATATCATTTGTTAACCCCATTTTGATATCAGAAGTTCTAAATGTTTATCTATATAAAAAAAAGTCTTGGTAAATGATCTAGTCTATTTGCGGTTAACATTTCTTTCGCTAAAATATTAACTTTTTTGGTTCTTTTCCGTGTTACGATTCAGTGGATGGTTGACTGATACTTTGCAGGTGATTCCAGCTTCGGACAAGCCTAACAGGAGCGATGCCTGAAAGTTCAGCGCTCTAGCTAGCATATTTGTGTGCAAGAAGGATCTATGCTTAAAGGAGACTATGTGATGAATAAAAGTGGCACATTATTTTACTGTCTTAATAAATTTCATGTACGATGTTTCACAATGTTCAGACTACTTCAGCGTGTGCCTGTGCTTGTGGGGCAAATTGTGTATATTCGCTCGTTTGTTGATTCTCAAATGCTTGCATCAGTAGAAGAGATATTTTAACTTCTAGATGGGTTATCAAATTGATTTCTTACTTTTAAATTTCACAAATAAGGATGAATTATCATCTTTAACGCACGTCTTTTTTTTTTTTTTTTGAAGTAATTAAAAATTTATAGATACTCTTAATATTTTCACTCGGACGACGCCAGACTAATAACTTTTTTTTTAAGTCTCGATCATTGTGTTTCATGGGCTGGCCCAAGAGATCAATCTAGCGTTTCATTAATTATGTAGGCTGTTGGCCGGCTACCAAATCGTGGACCGGCCCAAGAGATCTCCAAATCATAATGATCGCCTTAATCAGAAAACTTCGCGCGCCACTAATTATGAATCCGCAGTTTCCAGGAAAGAGCAGCCCATCTCTGTGGAATATGACTCCTTTGCTTTCTAGTTTGATCCCTCACTATCAAGTTCAACTAAATGCCAGTTCCCAAAGTTTCGGTCCCAAATTGTACTAGACCTCAATGATTGGCCAATATAAAATTGTAGAAGCTAAAGTCTTTATTTAAAATTGTAGAAACAGTCACTTGGATTCTTTGGGCTATTCAGGGATCACAGCCTCTTCATTCTCGCTCTCAGGTGACTGTTTCTTTGTTTCCCCCTAAATTTTCAAAAAAAATAAATAAAAATAAAACCCAAAATCCTCTATTATACGTGTTCTCTATCGATCATCATGAGATCTCAACGTCTTTTTGTTACCGCAATGCGTTTGACGTTACTTGGTTTGTGAAATGATGCCGTCTTTTTTGGGGTTGTTTGGATCCAATAAATTAGTCCGTAGTGATGCTGCGTGTTGGTTGAATTATGCACTGAGAAAAGGGGAGAGAGATGATGCCATCTTTATAAAACTGAGCTAGCTTCTGGAGTCCTTTTTCACGATTTTCGTACATTTTCGTTCATCGTAAATCTGTTCAGTTGCTGCCTTGTAAGCTCTCTGACGATCGCATACGAACCAAATGTTTTTCATTTATATTCAGGCGAAGGTGTTAAAGATAGGGGTGGATTTTTCTGCTGCATGAAGCGTTTCCTTCTCCACAGAGGGCTGAGGTTTCAGTGATTAATTTCAGTAACTAACAACATTGCATGCGCTGGTTGCTCTGATGGCTTCTTCTTCAGCTGGCCAAATGGATGCGGAGGATTCTGCCCAGAGTCTTTTGGACAGAAGACAATCAGGTAGTAACACGAGACTTCAATTCTGCTATATATGCTGCCTGTATACGATTCTATTGCTGTAAACTTAAATGCGTTATTTACGCACTTTTTGGTTTCGAAGGAGGCCTTAATACCTTCAGCTCTAGTAGCGGGTATCAGCGTTACTGCACTGCGTAGATGAAACCCCTCGACCAAGAAAGAAAGAAACGAAAAAACTATCAACATCGTGAAGCAGATCTGAAGTGTTATGATATAATGGCAAATTTTATATACTTAATTCGACTATTGAGACTAAAGACTAAGCTAGCAACTACATTAGCAAACGATGTTATTGATAAATTAGTACAAGAGTGCAAAAAAGCAAAATCAGCAATCAATAATCAATAAGGAACTTAATGATCAGCATGAATAATCTGTAAACACCGAACATTTCTAGCTAGCTGACACCAATCCAAGCACAGGCTTCTACAAATCCGTTGCCAAAATAACAAACCAATTAAGTCATCATTGAGCTCACGCTGTACAAACGCAGGCGCACGCTTGCAGCTATATTGCAAACTTGATGGCATCAACCGTAATAACACACTGATAGCCCTGTAAGATAATGCTTTGAGTTACGGTTAAGGCACACGAGTAGGACTATTATACTCTTTAATTTACATTTTCGTGTTTGATGAACTATGTTTTATAATGCCTCTTAACTGATTATTAGAAAGAAATAAAAGCTTCATTTCTTTTCTATTCTCTCTCTTTTCCCCCCCTAATCGATCGCCGAGTTTCTGTGCAGAAATGGGAAGCCATTACGTTGATGAATCTGGCATCTACTTGTCATCATTTGCTGCAGCCATCTTCATCAGTGCATTTGCCACCATTGGGGTTCTAATGCTTGCTTTGCTTGTTGCTCTTACTGTAATGTTAAACTCCTGCGAGAGTAGAGGATCCGGAGTCATCGAGTACTTCAGAACAAGCGATGACCACCATTACTGCAATGTTTTTGCTGTTCACGCTGAGCTCAACGGCCTGAGAACAAACGAATTCCCCGCCATCTGCAAGCATTACTCTCGTAACTACAGTAATGCCATCAAAATTTCGGTGAAGTTGGCTGAGAGCTACTTCGACGCTATTAAAGCCAGCGATCATCGTCTGGATGTAATACTGATGGATGTAGATGACATGTTGATACCAGGAATTAGTCATTGTCGGTAAGTATTACAGCATTTTTAACACTTCATTTCTGGTTATTTCCAGCTGGTACGTACTCAATATATATATATATATATAAATTCATTCGTTAGGAAGAAGCATGTTGAACATGAAAATCCCGGTAAGGAGCTTATTTTGAACTTGTACTTGAGACTCCAAGCTAGAGGTTGGCGTTTGATTCTGTTTACAAGGAAACACTCAAGGTACAGGAATGATACCGTAGAGAATCTAATTTCTGCAGGTTACAGCGGATGGTCCTCATTGATCATGAGGTACTTTACCTTACTATATCTTCAATATATTTTTTTAAACCATAATTTGAAGAAAAACGAGCGGACAAAATAAATGTTTTGTTCAGGTCAGATGATGACGTCGCGCTTGAAAGCTGGGAATACATCTCAGGTCGAAGGATGGAGCTGGTTGAGCGAGGATACCGGATCGAAAGCTTAATCAGTAGCCATATGGACACATTCAGGGGTACGTGCTTGGGGAGAAGAAACTTCAAGATCGCGAATCCAGCTTATTACAATCTACAGATCCAAGAGGAAAGATTCTGAAGTTCGATAATATATATGCGAAAAAGAAACACACATGTTTTGTTGCCTATACATACAGCCCATGATTTAATTTCAGTGCGCGTATGAGTTTGCTCAAGCCCTGTAGATAGCTTGTACTGAGTGAGGTTCGCTTCAGAATTCCAATTTATATACATTATTAATAGCGCTTTAGTAAATTATTATGATCGAGCTTTGTTTTTTATTTTAGTTTGTTTTATTTTGCAATGAGAATAAAAGGCTATTTTGCAAAACACCGACTCCGCTAGCTGTTATTCAAGAGCTTGTTCAAAGCAAAGAAAATCACTGATCGAAGCGTTTCACGAAACAAAAACAAAAAAAAAAAAAAAAACGATGACGAATCGACGTCTCAGTACAGCATCGCAGATGCCCTCCTCTCCTCGGAACTCGCAGCGCAATTTCCTAAGTCCACTCAAATTCGCACGTGCTCCTCGCACAGATTCGATCCGTGTACAGGAAAGAGACGCGCACGCCGGCGTCGCCGCGCGTACACTTGCCGCACCACCAGCCCCGCGCGCTCCATGGTATGTCGGGCTGACACCATTGTCAAAGACCCGCCCGATTTGCTGTACCCCACTTCGCGACTATCTATGCTGCACGCAGCGCAGATCCGACTGACTTAGCACATTCCATCAAGTAAAAACGCCGGTCCACGAGAACCTGCAACCAGTCACTAATCCGTGTCGTGAAAATCGCCGAGATTTGGACTAAGAGTGAGGAGGTTGTTAAGGAGAGAGCACAAGGGCGATGGAGACTGATATACTATAGAGGAGCGGTGAGTGAGGCGAAAGGGGTAGACTAAGAGGTTCGAGTGCGGTAGTCGGAGAGTAGTAGAAAAGAGGAGAGGGGAGAGAGTCGAACGGAAACGAGGGAGAGAGAAGCCAGAGGTGGGAACTCCAATACAGGGAACAGTGCGCGCGCGGACGGACGGCCACCCTACACGAATGCTTGCAGAGGGGCGAGACAAGGGCGACGAACGTTGAAGCGGCGGAGAACGTAAGTTAGAGGGCGCCCGGGAAGAGGCTGGAGTCGCACGTCGCCGAGAGAGGAAATATTACGAGGTCGAGCGTAGGTGGGAAGGTAGAAATTATTTAGATTACAGGATATTTATAAGAAAACCAGCCCAATAAACTCAAAACATACCCAAAACATCTCCGCCCCCAAACCTTATCAACGTTCCGTTTACCAAAAACGCCGCCAGATTTCTTCTCAGCCCCGGAAAAACAACGTCCCATGCGTAACGCGTTTAACCCCACTGCTCTGAAGAATGCCCAAAAAAACCCTTACGTTAAAAATCCTCGTTATGAGTTACCTCTCGTCCGTACCACGATGTCATGCTCGTCATCTTTCTGCAGAAACGACTCCAGACACCAAATTCAATAACCACTAAGCCCTACACAATCAACGATGCGCTCAACCAAACCCATCGAAGCAAAGGATGAATGGCCGCCATTCAACCCCCAAAGCCAACTCTCAATGAGCCACACGCGAAAGCGATAGCCCAGCGTATTCGACATCTCAGAAGGACCATGACACTCAGTGCGGGGCTGAATCTGAAAGCTCACGGGCTGCGATTAGTGATGTTCATTAGGATGGGAAAAAAAAACATCGGCAACCAGGCATTCTCATATCCACGCAGAAGCCGACGCCTCAACAATTTAGAGGGTGGCTCCACGCGATGAGGCAAGAGGCAGCAGCACACCTGGCGCGTGCCACGCGAGCCTACTAAGAGCGCTCCTATGTCTACAGAGAGGAGAAGAAGAGAAGCACGTGGCATATTCGGACCTCAAAAGTAATATATTTACCTGTGCAAGTTTTATGTTGTTTAAGTAACGGTGTGATTGACTAATGACACTTAGTCTGGTGGAAGGTCAAAACTTAGGGTGTTGTTATGTTGAGGTTTACTTGTTAACTATAGCAAGGTCTATGCTTATTGTTGAGGATTGTGTTTAATTGTAGAGGTAGGATCTGTTGTTTAAGTTAGGTTAATTGGGGTTGATAAGGTTGGGTGATTGTTAAGGTTGTTGTTTACTGCCGGTTACTTTGGTTAAGTATGTTGTTAGTGTTGAGATGTTTAGCTTTGTAGTAAGGTCTAAGGTTTTTGTTGTTAAGGTTAATGTGGGTTGCTGAAGGTTTGGTTGGTTTACCGGAACGCAAAAGTATACAGCATAGCTGTTAATGATTTTACAATGATTATACCTCAGAAATCTCTGTTCTTGTAGTTTTGTTTTGTCAACAGGCAAGCCAGCTATGACGTTCGGGCCACCGCCAGCATTCGTGACATCAGAACTTCAGTGCAGAAATTGGTGACGGCGTATGGGGCAAGGCATTTGCGGCCATAACGAAGATAGTGTATTTCAACACTGTGGCGGGAGCCAGATTTGGTACCCACTGGCGTCGATTTCCAACTGTTGAGCACATTGAGTCAGTGGGACATAGAAGAGCGAAAAAATTGGTATGACTCAACCGACCGAAGAATATGGAGAAGAGCGATAGCTCATCAAACCTTGAGTGGGAATGGAGCATACATGGTACTCCAATGAGGAGGCTTCATGTGAGTCACACGGGACGAAAAATAGGATGGGCACAGTTTCTTTTGAGCTAAACAGCAAGAGGACGGGGGATCTAGCAACATATTGATCCCCAAAGGACGGACCCCACAGACGCAATTGGAGCACCTGCTCTCTTCGAAAGTCTGGTACTATTCTGATCGCTACGAGCATTAAGGACTTGTCTTGCTATCAGATCCCTATTGAGCATAAGATTTGGTGTCAAACAGTTGTTCACGTTGGCGTTCCGCAGCATTTATTCAAGTAAATCGACAGTATCGAACAGGTCACAACACTGCATTCTATGGGACTATATATTACAGTGAGACATATGACGCGAAGAGAGGGCTACTGAAGGGTCCTGAGACAGGAAGAAGAAACATTATATTAATCTAAGGGTGTACCCTACTATTTGTTAAGAATCAATTAGTAGTTTACTGATTGTGAGGTTAGGGTTTAGATTGTTAAATCGGTACAGGGTTCGTGTCAAGGGTTACGGTTTTGGTGGTTAATATTACGGGTTGCTTGTTAATGTTACGTTTTATGATAGGTCGTTAAGTTTATTTAACTTGTTAGCGATGAAGGTGTGGTAAGTTTTATATCTCTAAATTGCAGTTGTGGTAATTAGGATCACCGGAGGCATCCAGAGAAGCCAGCAACTTGTGTACGGTGAGGCTCGCTGACAAATTGTGGTGACACTCGCTGGGCAAGTTGCTAGGTCTTGAGAATTGAGTCACTGTAGTTGGACGAAAGCAAGCAAAAGCTACGATAAAGCTTCCACAGCAACAGTGGAACTTCAAGAAGAGGGAGGTTTGGGAAAGGCAGGATAGAGAAAGAAAGCAGGAAAAAGGAGAGAGAGATAGAAGGAGGATTAGAGGTGGACGCGGCTGCAGTAAGACGCGGCAGGCTCGTGCCTCATATAGACCTTCTGTCACAAAGAAGAAGAGGATGATCATGGGGGAGGGAGAAGAAGATACACACCCCAATTATGCACTTGTAAAGAACTTAGGGCTCGGGATTTTATTTGTTTTTTGAATTGATAATCCTTTAATAATCTATCTGCCGTTGCAGAATGTGATGCACAGATCATTGAGAGACCCGAGTGATTGGCCCGAATGACTTGCAGTTGAGCAAGAATGGATTGGCTCAAGTACTACTTGAAGAGGACATACGCAGGCAATAACGACAGGATCATACCGCCGCGAAGAACCGAGAATAAATTCCAAAGGATGAGTTGCAACCGTGTAAAGATAAGTGCTCTTTTCTGTTAAGAGTGGCCTAAGACTGTCTTGCTCAAGGAATAAACCGAAGAGGAAGTGAAGCGAAGCACGAATCCGGAAGCGCCTCTCTAGTACTAAAAGGATAAGACCATATACAGGATTGGTTGTCCAGCCATGATGGAGCCGAACTTGTACAGGTTCGATGTCTTTGTCAATACGTTTGCGTGTTTATAGTTAAAAATTCGATTGATAAGTTAGTGATTATGTTAGGGTTTAAAATTATTGTTAACTTTACTGTGACTAATATAAAGGTTAGGGATTTATGTTGAAGGTACAGGGGATTTATTGTTAAGGTTAAATGTATTGTTAACTTACGTATCTAATGTAATTCAGGGAATTTATTGCCAAGTTGGGAAGATGATGTTAATAATCATTGTTACGTTTTACAGGTTATTAAATGATGCATGGTTTTTTTGACAATGAAAGACTAAGATATGGTGTATGTTTTAATCAGACACCAGCAATCCGTGGTGTCATTGATTAACAGAGATGGGGATGTCAATAATCATATATTGATGAACTAATAAGGAGAGCGACCCCTCCGACAGGGAAGTCTCCCTACAAAACCATTTTTCTGATAATAAAGGAGAGTAGAAGATGCTCCGCGCAGAGAAATTTAACTTCAACAGACATCTGATGATTTAGACAAGGCCCTTGAGGCAGGAAATAACGAGGGAGAAAGGTGTACCCGCAGCAGAAGAACTACATTTGGTACAGGTTAGCTTGCTTTAGTGACATATATGTTTTAGAGATTGTAGTATACGATTGGTTTAAGCTTTTATTGTTTATACTTGAATCTTACAGAAACAGGACTCACCAGGACTGAAGGGAAAAATAACGCCCGGCTGGTCAATAGCTTCGCAGTATGGGAGACGCAAACTTGTATAGGAAACTATTTCACGCATGTATTAGGCATCAGTGTGGTAAGGTATTAATGAATTGTTAAGTTGACTAGAAGTGGCGGCTATTTCTTATATTTATACGCGAAAGAGTTAGTTGGCAATCAGAACTCCTGCGGGAGGATCACGAGGAGGAATAAAAATCAGAGAAGCCCTCCACCAGCGAAGAGACATAACTGATGTACGAAGATGCCTATTATTTTCAAGATTTGATAAAAGGAGGTGCAACGGGGGCACCACGGGGAAAGGCCGCTGTGATGCACCAAACGGAAGTAGATGCAAAAGACGTGAAACCTCCAGTGTGGTAGGGGAAGAAGAAGAAAGAAAAAGACACAATAGGGACAGGGTAATATAGAAGGGATAGGGAGAGGAAGCACAGGTGCAGGAAAGCAATGCAGAGTTGGCTCTGCGCGCTACAAAGTTACCCCCATTTCATCTGAAAACACATGAGCCATGAAGTTCAGAAGAAGAAAGTAGCAGAGATAAGCTGAACGAGGGGATTCCTTATCAGAAGAGCTTCATCATCAA